CCCTAACATCCATGGTGGTGGAAACTCCAGCAGTGTTTGCACCATTGAGTGCCCAATTTTAGTTTCATACACTCGAATCAAGAAGAAAAGGAAAGTAACAGCACCCAAAGATTATGTACAAAACTTAATACGTACATAGGACTTTTAAAAAAAAAAATAATCTTTATTTAAATGTTTTTCATGAAAAAATACACAACAAAAAAAAATGCATACAGTACATCACATCACTATATTAAGATTAATCAATCTACCCAGTTATTTAAACATTAAAAAACAAAGACATAATACATGACATACAGGTATAGCAAAAAATAGAACCATTAAGGACTGAATATATTACATTCGGGACTCCTAATTCTTAACTACACTATGAACATCTTGATGGTAATACATTGGGCCCCAGTCAATCATCTATATGGGGAGGAGGTGGAGTGCCCCCTTAGAGGTACTATTCCCAACCTTATAACATTCAGGGGGGACATGTATTTTCTTATGCTTCTCGAATAAAGCTATTCAATCTATTCCATCCATATTTAGTTATAGGTAAGGGTTCTCTCTCCATCTTTAGTTGAAAAGAAATGTGTGCTTTAATCATTGCCCACATTGGGGGGTCAAGTTGTTTCCATAGTTTTACAATACATATGAGTAACCATATATTCATCCCTTTTTGAAAGTTTAGGCCGGCCAGCCAATGCAATTTCAGGCAAAAGTCCATATGAATCTCTATAAGATTCTCTAATATATTAGATTTAGGCAATGAATCGATTTCTTTCTTAACTTTCGTTATTTTCTTATACCAGTCTGAAAGTATTTCTATTCCAAGTTCCTTTTCCCACTTATTTTTAATGTTAATAACCAAATCTGGATAGAGAGCTCCATCATCAAAGATAGAGCTTTTCATCAAGATTTGGGTACTATCACCATATTTTATTAGAGACTCCATACCTATGATTTCATTGTCTGTTTTGCAAATAAAACTTCTCAAATAACTTTTTATTCTAAGATAAGAGAACACTTCTTTTGAGGGTAAGTAGAATCTTAAAGCTAATTCATGGAACGGTTTGATATGTGAGCCCGTCATTATGTCTGCTAGAACGTTTTTACCATTATTTTTCCATATAGACATATTAATTCCTTCCATATTATATTCTAGCAGATTTATACTACAATTAGCTGATACTTTTCTCCCAAGATAAGTTATACTCCAGTTTAAATCTGGACCAGAACCTTAAGATCTCATATGTAAAGAAATGTCTTCCAAATTTATTCTCCACAGTCTTGTCTAAGTACATCTTTTTGAGGTCGATCCAGAGTAATAAGGATAAGTCTGTTATTCCCAGCATAGCTTTTTCAAGATCACCCCACAGGTCATTGGAATTTGGTTTAAACCACTTAGATAAATGTTTAAGAATAGCTGCATCGTGATATTTCTTAATACTGGGGATAGATAATCCACCTTTATCTATGCTTTTTTTCAGAATCTTCCTTTTTATTCTTGGCTTTTTCCTGTTGTTTATATAATCATAAAATTTGCTTTGGACTATAGCCAATTTAGATCTATATAAATATAAAGGTATAGCTCCAAATGCCTAATTCCATAATGGGAGCATGTACGATTTTATAACATTAATACGGCCCATCCAGGAAAGATCCAAAGATTTCCATTCATTTAGCATTTTAGTGGTCTGACTCAATAAAGCCTCCAAGTTAGCCTTAGTTATCTTCCCTGCTTGGGAAGTAAGGATAATACCTAGATATTCAATGCTATTGTTTCCCCATTTAAAAGTGTATTTTCTTTTGAGGGAATCTTTGATATCACGGTCCAAATATTTTCATTCATTCTGATAAGTTTAGTAAGTGGTTCCAGAATGAGAATATAAAGCATTGAGGAAAGAGGGCAATCCTGCCTGGTTCCGTTTCGAACCTTAAACCAGGACAAGCAGATACCTGACCCTATGATCCTGGCCGAGGGATTAGTATAAAGAGACTGTATTGCATGAAGTATCCATCTATTAAAGCCTCTGTTAACTAAGGATTGAAACATAAAAGGCCAGCTTACACGATCAAAAGCCTTATTCGCACCTAGTGAGAGTAGGATAGTCGGTTCTGTCTTTCTGTTAGTTAAGTCGATCAAATCTACTACTCTGCAAATATTATCGGAAGGGTATCTTCCCGTAACATATCCTGTTTGGGCTGAATGGATTAAAGAGGGAAATATGTATTTTAACCTATGATAGCGGAATATAGTTTTATATCAGTATTGATTAATGAAATAGGTTGATAATTTTCAAGCTGGGTCAGATCTTTATTATTTTTTAAAATAGGGATTATATTTGGAGTAAATCCGGTCCAATTTCCATATTAGCTGGGAAGGAATTAAATAGTTAAACTAAATATTTACAAAGGTCGTCTCTCAGAATCTTATAGTAGGAACCAGAAAATCCATCTGGGCTGGGTGCTTTTTTATTTTTTATTTTATCTATTGCTATTCTCACTTCATCTTTTGTAGTTAATTGGTTACGTTTTTACTTTGCTCCACTGTGAGAGTGGATAACCCACCTTTCTCTAAATATTCTTGAATCTCTGAAATTATTTTAGAGTTTTTTAAATTGTACATATCATAATAATAGGATCCAAAATCGTCTCCAATTTCTGATGGAGAATATATAGTCTGTCCTTTACTGACTATATTGTATATCCTTTGGGAAGCAGTGTGCTTTTTTAATTTAGCTGTCAAGATTTTATCTGCTTTATTTCCTTTAAGATAATTCTGGTTAAGCTTAGATAAGGCTGCCTTGACATTGTCTAATCATTTTTGGTTTATCTTTTCTCTAATATTATTAATTCGAGACGCTAATTCCTCCGATGGGTTTTCCTTATTTTTTTCCCATATCTTCGGAAAAAGAGCTACATACAATTCTGCCAAGGTCAGGCCTTGCTCCCACTTTGCTCTAGCGCCCATTTTTATCAGATGGCCCATCGCCACACATTTATAAGCACACCAAATTTTTTCAAACCCTATGTCTGGGATTATATTCTCATCAAAAAAAAGCTTGGTTATTTCTTTCATATGTTTGCAGTTTTTCTCTGCCTCCAAAAGAGTCTCATTAAGTCTCCAAGATGTACGTGGCCTTATCTCCTATTGGATTTTCAGATCCCAAAAAAATGCATTGTGATCTAACCAGGTTATTTTGATAAATCCTCTCTTTATCATCTGAAGAGCTATAGATTCACAGAGGACTAAATCTATACGCGAATAGGAGTTGTAAACCCTTGACCAGTGTGTAAAATCCTGTTTGTCGGGATGAAAAGTGCACCATACATCATGGAGACCATTACGTCTGGCAAATCTGTTAAAGCTTTGGGCTTCCCTAAAAAACCTCTCCTGATAGTTTGTGATCCTTTGGTATCCTTTTATCTAAGGTAGGTTCCATAACCATATTAAAATCTCCAGCCCAGATGACTGGTCCTTTTCTGATTCTATCAATTCTCTCGATTATCTTATTTAAAGTACCTATCTGTTCCCCTGCATCAGCATAAAGATTTTACCATATATCTTCGGTATCCCCCATCTCTCTCCTTTTTCCATCAGACCCATAGATTTATTTATCTTAACCAGATCTAACGGTTCCATTTTTCTATTACCAACAAACAACAAAAAACATTTAACATAAAATGCCAAATCTCCATTAGCCCAAGAGATTTTGGCTACAGCATTGGCCCATATTCTCTTCCAGTGCATTATCAGGTTTAACGGTCTACAACCTCTGACAGGGAAAAATTCCCCTATGCAAACTTCTCATATATTTTAATCATAGGGGTAAGAGTCCAACATAACATATTTATAATTTTGATTACTTAAAGAGATAAGAACCAAATTAATGTAAGGATACGTAACAGTTTTTATGGGAGTATCTTTTTGGTACACCCCTATCTGTACTCCCCATTAATAACTTGATTGTTGGGGGGGTAGTTCTGGATGCCTCTGAGATTTAGGACTATTATGACTTTTAGCTATATCGACCTCTCCTCCTATAAACCTTATAGTATCTATTTTATATTTCCAATATTAAATGCCACATATATTTCATTATATAGCAGATTAATAATTATAGTGCATAGTATTTATCTAAAGTGCATATTTTGTGCTGACTCTAAATTAATAATAAGAATAATTTCCTACATGAGGGAAAATGAACTCCTTTATGGTGCTTCTTACATAAAAATTACCTTCCTCCGTTCTATTACAACTTGCTAATCCACTTTATATTTAGATTTCATATATTACAAACGTAATTAGTTATTAAGCCTCAAAAATATAGTGCTTGAATAAAATCCCCATTTTTTTTACATTTACAGTTTGAAGAGAGGATAATTATTTCTTAAATATCCCCTATTCTCTATTACAACTTGCTGATACTCATATTTGGATTTCATATATGACAAATGTGATTAGTGATTAAGCATTCAAAAAATATGCATTATAGTGCTTAAATATAACCCCCAATTTTTACAGTATTTACAATTTAAGGAGAGAATAATTATTTCTTAGATATCCCCTAATAAATTAGTCCCAAGCTTGACTATTCTCTCTTTGTCTTCTCTCAACATCCTCCCTCTACCCCTCTCCTCCCTCTTCCTACTCTCTCTCTCTCTTTTATTAATGAGTAAAAAAAAAAAATCTATATCTATGTACCATCTCATTTCTCGAGCCATTCTTTGGCCTTCTCTTGTTTTCTAAATATTAATCTTTGCCCATCTTTATAGACAATCAGACTTGTTGGAAATCCCCAATTATATTTAATGCTCTTTGAGCACTTTGCCTCTGTCTCTTTATTAAAGATTTTTCTGGCAGCTCTCGTTGCGTAAGAAAGATCCTGAAAAATATATTTCTATTATATTTCTCAGATTTCTGTTTAAATTCAACAAAAGCCTTCATTAATGATGATTTAAATCTGTAAGATGAAAAGGCAATAATTATATCCCTGGGGATGGATTCAGGGACAGATGGTGGCTTACGAATTCTATGGAATTTTTCCATTATTAAGTGGGGAGATTCATTTGGGAGATCCATAGATTCAAAAAATTCTATAATATAGTGCTCTAATGCATCATTAGTAACCGTTTCGGGTATATTTCTGATTCTTACATTATTTATGCGAGCACGGTCCTCCAGATCAGTTATCTTATTCTGCATTGTGACTACCTTTGCTTCCAATGACCTTAGATGCTCTTTAGATTCTAAGGAAGAGACCTGTATAGTTTCTATCTTATCTTCTAGGGCCATGACCCTGTTACCCAGAGCAGATAACTCATTCTTTATCTCACGTGCATTACTTTGAATTTCCGATCTTATAAATTCTCATTGATTTTCTAGGGAGGATTTTAATAGTTCTGGAGAAATTATTGTTTGTTCAGAATTAAAAGATAAATCTGATTGATCTGTCAATGATAACTTCCCAGATGATAATCTATCTTTTGACATTGCCGGGGAATTTATAGAGCTTTTTGATGTATCTTTTTTGGGCGCTAAGCGAGAAAAAGTCTGAAAGATTATTATCTTTTCTACGTTGTTGTTCCTTTTCCAATCTTTCCCTATCTTTCTTTGTTAAGGTCTTAGTTTTTTCTTTGCAAGACATTTTTTTTTTTATATAACACTTCAGTAAAGATTCAAGTTTTAAATATGGTTTCCTATTTTTGCCTGTGCCTATATTTTATATATACAGAAGTAATGTTTAGTCCAACTTTGTTTGTTGTAGGTTTAAAAAGGATAAGAATATAAAGTTCAAATGAATTTTGAGCTCTTTTTTTCCTTTTGCCTCTTCCTCTCGCTCTGCTGACTTCTTTCTTCTCTATCTTCTTCCTTCCTTTCGGTCTTATATTTATTGCTAAAAGAGATTTCAATGTTAAAGCGTCTTTAAAGACATCTGCTTTTATCATGAAGATTCTTCTATTTTAAATTCATTAACGAGTTAATTAACAATAGTGATTCATTCAGCAGATTCAAAGTAGGGATTCATTCAGCAGATATGCCCTAATTTCCTCACCTCCCCCTTTCCCTCCTTTCCTTTTCTTCTCTCCCTTCTTTTCTTCACTTTTTAAAGATGTCTAACGATCCCATAGAGTTTTGTTCAATAGTACATAGATTAGATTTAATGTATCCACATTGTTTCAATAGTTTGCAACTGTTTAATGCAGCAACATATTTACCAATACAGTGTACATATGTCACTTATCTGTATCTGTATCGGCCCTTCTGATCGTGCTTTAGTTAGACTTCTTTCCCTATTTCACTTCCGAAGCCAGTGTAATCCCCTTCATGCTGCCATAGGGACCTTGTGGACATCGTTTGTAAATTGTCCGGAGGGGTCCACAGCCTCAGTGTGCACCATCCGTGGGGTTCCCCGATAGAAAATGCTGGTACCACTGAGGTCAATTAAGCCACAGTGTGGGAAAACAGCTGGCCGCGATGAAAAATCCACTCCTTCAGCTCAACTCCAGCACCGGCGCTCCCCGGTATGTTCCGAGGGCAGATAGTCCACAAGGAAGAGGGGGAGGACTCCACTCGAGTTTGCTGTCGAGGAATCCCTGCACCCAGACGCGCCCCGTGCGTGTGTGCACAGTCACGTCATCCCGCCTAATTATTACGTACATTACATCTTTTGAAATTAAAAGAGGAGAAACAATATTTGTATAATTTCAAAAGACCTGTGTACGTATTAAGTTTTGTACATAATCTTTGGGCGCGGTTACTTTTTTCTTGATACTTTACTACCCACAAGGTCTGGGAATCCTTGTACTACTTACTGCAGCCTAGTTGGTGTAACGGATCACCTGGCACCCCGACTGGGTACCTCCGTTGAAGGATGCTCCTAGCGCTTCCTGAGGACTCCAAGCACTGCAGCAGACACCACAACCACCGAACCGGAGAAGCATGTGAATCCTCTCAAGCATATGAATGCTGTAGACAGTTGAATAGGAACCATACGAATAGGTTTACTCTCCTAGCAGTCAAACTGGAACAGCATACAATAAATCCTTCCCCCAATAATGAGACGACACTTCACTTTGAGGGTTAAAACAGGAACTCCCTGTACTGTCACATACAGTCTCTTTTATTCCCAATCCACAAACATAGTACAGCCCACAGGGCGTTACAAAACAGCCAATCAATCCATACAATACACCCAGACACTCCCACACAAAATCCTCCCCTCTGGCTGTGATATGATTACTGAACACAATGGGTAATCTAATTATCACAGCCAGAGAAATACAGTTTAATAAAACACATCACAGGGACCCCAAAACATGCAATAACCCCCATATCCTTGGAACTGGGGGATCTGGGTGAACCACATAGCCAAAATTCACCCAGATCCGTTCAGTACTTTGGAAAATACAGTTTAATGCAGATTCTGCAGAACATATACAGGCTAAATAAAAAACAATCACTGTATAATGTGTCCCCTGCTGTATAGTCCAAAACCACCGCACGATGTCTCTGTGCAACAAATACTGGCGAGATGGCACCGTGTTGAAAAGTCCAAACAGTGTCTGGGAGTTAAAAAGGCCGCCATCCATTGTTCTCACCATGTGCTTATGATACAGGAAATGGTGGCCACCCAGTAACTCCACAATATGTCCCCAGATGGTTCTTAAAAGGGCTAGCAGCAGCACAACACAAATCCATTATGCCCAAATCATGTCTTTAAAGGGCAATACATCCCAGGGGCCATAGTCACATGGCAGGAGGCTGGCAACCAGGCTTCTCCAGTGCATAGTGACGAGGTTGGTTCCGCCACAGTTGGATCTTGTACTATACTGTAGTGAGCGCCTATTACATTTTCTTTTTACCATACACTTGAATACCAAACACTGCTGTATGCGTTCACGAAACCAAGATGGCTGCTGCCTTGAGTTCGTCCATACGAATGGCGGCCACCAGGTAAACCACTTAGAATGTGATAATTGCAGTTTGCAAAAGTGTGAAGAAGGTCAGGCAGGTCAATGAGCGGCACACGACTGTTCTGGGTGGTCTGTCCATTCGGTACATTGTTCGGTATATGAACCAAATGGGTCAGTTTATTCGGTTATGTTAGTGAACCGGAGCAGCCAATATAAAACAATAATTCAGGGACAGGTAGATCTGTCACACCTTTCACCCTTTTACTTAACCCCTGCCCCTCTCTACAAAATCTCTGCCCCTCGCTACAAAATCCCTGCCCCCCACTTCAAGACCTCTGCCCCCTTCTACAAAACCCTGAAACCGCTTTACTAAACTTTTTGTCATCCTTTTACTAAAACGCTGTCGCCCATTTACTTAATGTCAGGGGTGGCGGTCTGGTGACCGGGACCCAGTATGCCTGATTTTGATTGTGACGAGACCAATCTCGCCACATTGCATTGGAGAAGCCTGGTTGCTCACCTGCTGCCTTTGGACTATGGCCCCCTGTTAAAAGACATCTTTTTTACCTGCAGAAAAGCTTCATTCGTGCTTTTCTGCCTGGGGTTCGGTAGATTTGTTTGAATGTGTTATACCCCAGATAGGAATCCCATGGAGCCCATTCGTATGAAACTGACTGTAAAGACTTTGGCTCCATGGCGATTAAACTGTATTCGTGTGGTCTGAGCGCCATTCACTTAATAATGTGCGCTCAGACCTGAGCTATCTGGGGATATGTTAAATGTATAGTTTTAATGTAAGGTGTCTTACCTGATGTATTTTAAAGTGTTTTACTGTCTTTGTGTCCCCATGTGCTCAATGGAGTCTGCCTCTATCCCTGGATAATTGGATTACTTTCCCCATTGTCCAGGACAGAGGGCTCTGTAAAACCTGTTTGAGCCAGATAGCCATGCTGCCAGCCAGGGTACAAAAGATACTTTTTACTAACTTTTGAACCCCTGGTCTGATTCATGCCATTTTTAATATGTTGTTCCCCTGAATGGATTGATTGTGAATATGTAATTTTATGTGAATGTGATGTATGGTTTTAGAGTTATGAAAGTTGGGTAGAAAGTATGTTTTAACTGTATGTGTAATTGAGTTTCCTCTCAGGATAAGGGGAGGGAATATGTGGGATGTAACTGTGATGTGATTGGTTGTTTTATACCTCCCTGTGGGCGGTCCTGTATTTGCAAGACTGTAATAAAAACCAGGCTGGGTGTGCCAGCACCTCAGACCACTGCTTGACCCTCAACACGGAGCCTTGTCTCGTTCTTGGGGGGATTCACTGTATGCTGTTAGAGACTGATTGCCAGGAGTGTAAGCTGATTGTCTGCTTTTCCTGTTCGTCTGCTAGCAGCTATTTGGGAGGTTCCAGTTCGGGAGTTGGAGTGCTATTTTGTATCCAGTTCGGGAGTTTGGTGTTCTGCAGTAGCTGTGCCTGTATCTCTGGAAAGGGGGCCGATCGCCTAAACGGTTTTTACCCCTTTTGTGCAAAACGGTCCGTTACATTGATATTCTGAGTCACTGTGTGGAAATGGATTATCAGGGCCTGGTGCAGGGTAAGCGCACGCCACCTGGTGTTGAGCACCAGCATTTGTGTGGCCACATACCAGGGCCCTGATGCAGCTTCCCAGGTGCCAGATGACAATAAGCAGACCTCCCAGGATCTGAATAGGGAGGCTCTGCAGCAGATATGTATCCAGTACTGAAACAAGGTAAGACTAGAATAGACACCAAACAAGAAAACAAGACAAAACTAGGAGAACCCAGAACCGGAGCAGGACAGAAAGCAGAACCCAGAACATGTACACAAGACATGAGGAAAACAAGAACAGGGCAGGACAGGATTGTACATGAACTGTGAATAGAAGATAAAATAAAACATGACAAGAGATACAAGGCAAAACAAGAGGAGATATAACTAAGTACTATATAAGTGTGTATCAGGGATCCTTAGGACATGTGTCAATCCATATCTGCCAAGTGACCCTATGTAGGAGGAACAGTCCCTATTCTGCTCTGTGTCAGTGTGTATCAGGGATCCCTAGGACAGGTGTCAATCCATATCTGCCAAGTGACCCTATGTAAAAAAGGCCTGATGAGATGAGCTGCCTTGGGCTAAAAATGGTCCACACGCTGCTGTATTTTAGCTCTGAGTGCTGGTTGACTTGCGTGACTTATCCGCCACCAACTAGGGTTCAAGCCGCCATGTTTTAGGGCACTTTCTGCCTGTGAAACAAACATCAATTTTTCTGGCCGCTGCTACAGCATGCCTAATTTTTAGGCCCTCTGGTGCTGCACTGTGGCTTCAAAACTTTTTTCACTGTTATAGATTGAATAGCAGTTAGTTGTCTGCAAGCGTCAGAAAGTCATCCCCTTGCCCGGCGTCTGACACCTGGCTTGTCTGAACTATTAGCCCGCCAGCTTTTACCATACAATCTGGTGGAGTCTGAGGCGTTCAAAAAATTTTTAGCTATTGGGACACCGCAGTGGAAGGTACCCGGCCAAAATTTCTTTGCGCAAAAGGCAATCCCCAACCTGTACTCGACTGTGCAAAAGGAAGTAATGGCATGTCTGGCACACAGTGTTGGGGCAAGGGTCCATCTGACCACTGATACCTGGTCTGCAAAGCAGTGGGTACTTTATAAATGGCTCCACCTGCCACCAGTACAGCAACACAGTCTCCAGTTAGGAGGACTGACCAAGCATCTTCTTCCATCTCCCTGTTACAGAAATCACTGCCATGTACACGTCCACTGATAGGAGACGCGGAAGGTATTAAACTGATAAAAATAGTACTAAACACACCACTCCTATCTGGTGTCACATTAGCTTGACCGCACAGTGCCCCAAATTTGCAATAAGAGGACCGACCAAGCATCTTCTTCCATCTCCCTGTTACAGAAATCACTGCCATATCCATACAAATTGTACAGAATGTCCAGGATAGTTTTCCAGGGACAAATGTTGTCGCCTGTTGAACGAGGTGACCTTGCTCGGGTCCCAGGTGTACGGTTCCTAAAATGGCTGCCATATACACGTCCACTGATAGGAGACGCGGAAGGTATTAAACTGATCAGAACAATACTAAACACACCACTCCTTTTTTTTGGTGAGGCTTTACAGGACAGAGTGCTTCTCCACGGGACATGTTAACTCACGGGCAGCTGGCTCATCAAGGAACCAGAGCAGCTTTCCATGTGCAGGTAAGACACGTGCAGCCGGTAAGGGTTCAGGATCTTCTTCCTGGAGGATACGCTGCAAGCCTGTTGAACGAGGTGACCTTGCTCGGGTCCCAGGTGTACGGTTCCTAAAATGGCTGCCATATACACGTCCACTGATAGGAGACGCGAAAGGTATTAAACTGATCAGAACAATACTAAACACACCACAAATAAGGTTTCTCTCCTGTATGGCTCCTCAAATGATGCTTAAGATTAGAAGCGGCTGAAAAGCATTTCTCACACTCCGAACAAAAATATATTTTTTTAACATTCTCTCCACTTTGAACGAAATGACGTTTGTGAAGAGATTAACATAATTAAACACAGACAGTAAAAATACAGTTTTTAGCCATACACTGTAACTTTAAAACTACACATCCCATCTTCATAACAATTACATATTTGGAATCAGCACTCTTAAAACATAAACATAACCAAAAATCAGCCAAATCCATCCAGGGGTTAAAAAGTTAGCTGGAGGTCCCTTTATGACCGACCGCAAGCACATTTTCCTGCCCAAAACAGTTCCATAGATTTGGGCTGT